ATTTCCTAAAATATTTTGTTATTGCAATTGGTGGTGGTAGCTATATTAATTTACCTTTTATTTCTAATTTAACAGCTCTTAAAATAATGTTAGGAATTAGGTAATTATTAGGTAATTATGCAATTACTTTATGTGGCATTTTTATAAAGTCTGTTTTATAGATGAACAATGATAGCCAAGGTCCAATACCAAGACAAGGAGTTAAAAATCAGTTCAGGTTAATACGGCCAATTAAAAAAATAGATGTCCTTGCATGGATGGCGGAACTGAAGATTTTAGATTAAGGAATTTAAATCCAAAACTCTGAGCAAAATGCATGCAACAAATTCCGAAGCGAAAAAGTTCCTGCGTGCAAGAATCATGCTCTTCTGCACTGCCAATGCAATTAGTATTTCTAAGTGAAACACAAGGCTAGCTGAGTGATTTACACGCTTCTCGAGTATTCGAACAGCATTTCCTGAGTGCACTATCACACCATTAGTTATCACATGCAGCACTCAACAATTTTCTTTATTTCGATTATAATAAAGAAAATCATTAGTAGACATTACAAAAATAACAGTTTTATCCCAAAATATAATGTTGAAATTCTTCAACACGTATAGATCCTTGCCTATAGTGTTTCAACTTTCAATATAAGAAAGAAAGAGGGCATTGATATAGGTAATGATCGGGCCATTACTGCATTATTATTAAATTTAGTAATTTTAGAGAGTTTTTCTCGTCGTAATTAACAATGGGGCCGGATTTTTTAATCGTAATTTTTAATTTTTTTTCGAAATTTGCGGAAATTTCTTTCGGTCTAGCAAGTTGTGAATTTGCTGTCTGCAAAATAACAACTCGTATCCAGGGCATTCGCCGGGAAAAATACACTGGAAGATATAATTTGTGCAACAAACCCGTTAAAAATTACTACATGCACTCGTTGCTACATATTCTATTCTATTCCATATTCTATTGAAAATTGCAAGATGAAAGCATTTAACGTCTTTGTGAATAAAATGAAGTTACATTATTAAAGACTGTTGTATACAGTCCAATATTATAAAAGGCTATTATTAGTGTTATATACGAAAATCACAAACATTTCAGAGAGCGACAGCCGACAGGGAATGATGATTTGTGGCAACGCTTTGAGCGTAGATTTGACATAACTGAAACAAATATAGTAACGTTGCGGGAATATAAGGCAATTACTAGAAAGAAAATTACTATATATAGCTAGTGAGATACCAGTCGAATCACGATTGGAGTGTTTAGGCATTAAAACCAATAAATTAACAGCAACATTGACATGCATTTAGTTAATGAGTATTAGGGACTTAAATAACTGCAGGTCTGCGCCCACCCTTGGCCTTGGACCTGCATTTTCCCCACAGTTGAAGTGTTGAACTATAAATATTGTTCTAGAAATAGTGAACTATAGATATAGTAAAATGTTCGCAAATACCTGCTATATTATTGTAGATCAACACTTACGGATGTGGGCACTTTGATAAGTGATACTATTTCCTCTGGCACCGGCTAAAGTGGCCTCTCACGTCTTATTTTATTTCATCAGCAAAGAGCACTTTCTATATGTTATATTGCACTTTATATTAGTAATTTCCGCCATGAGAAAACTCATAAGGTATGCGTTGTGGTCTGATTGTTGCAAGGGTGACTTGTGCTTGATTCAAATTCCACTGTGATTGTTGGAGATTGGAACTGATCTGGAAACATGATGAATTGTTTGTCGGATGGTCTCATGGTCATTTATGGTCGAGTTTGCTGTAGTCCAGGAAGGACTGTTGCCTCGTTGGTTTGGTCAACGTTAGCAACTTAGCAGCTCACGGAAAACACCAACCGGGAAATGTCAATATAGATTGTCCCGCAAAACTGCCAAAAGATATATCAAGTCGGCTAAAACATAAATGTTCGCGAGCTGATTGTCCAAGTCGCATGGAAAGCTAAACCAAAAGTGAGTTCGCTTGCAAAATATTTGCATATTTTCTTTTGAAGTGAGAACAGTCAAGCTGAACTAATTTATTTATTCTGCCAAAATTCAAAAGAAAATATGCAAATATTTCGCTAGCGAACTTTTTGTTTGCAAGTGAAAAATGAAAATCCACCCTTATAGTCATGAGCTAAAATCGACTTGTGGTGAGATAGGAAACCGTTGAAAATGGGAATTTGGGCGCCGGTGTCCTAGAAAATTTGGCCCCTCGAAAACATATAGTTTATAGTTTATTGCCATGAGTTCGAGAATCGTGAAGCTTCTTCTAAAAGTAAATACTTAGTTTGAAATGAATGCATTGTTATAAATGATATTCGATCCTGCATCCAGTGAAGCGACAAGTTGGATTGCCATTAGAAAGTGTATCTGCATTTAAGGGGGGGGGGGGGGTACCCGTTTTACTTTGGGTGTTAATTAATTTCTTATCATGCAAGTTCCCCCTGGCAATGCACATGCACAATGTCTTGCTTTTCATTCGTGTTTCGAATAACGAGAGGTGAGTAAATCTAAACAATTTTATATCATCTTTAAACAACATGCAACCATGGCGAGGTCGAGAAGGACTAAATTACCTTTATTTGTCTTTTTGACAAAGTCATTTATCGCTAGTTTAAAAAACCATAAAGATGATTATCACATACTAATTTTAGGCGTATTAACCAATCAATAACCACAATTTCCGATATTCACTTTTGTAGTTGTACCGATAACTATTAAATACTTGCCAGGTCTGTCATTTGTCAAGTTTGGCATTTTGAACCTAAAGCTATTTTTCAGCTAAATTACATGAAAAATTAAACTGAAAAGAACTCTCAGCCGAAATATTTTTTAGTTGGTTGAGTATCTTTTCTGAAAGGAACAGATCACAAAACACAAAATGTGCTTTCCAATTATACTGATTTGCTTGAGATATAAACCTTCATGGAAAAACCTCATTTAAAAAGTGCGCTTTTATTTCATCAAGACAGCAGAAGAACCCCCATACAGGTCTATATTCATGCGGACAATAGCCACAGATTCATGATTAGATGATTTAAATCATCAACCGCGTTATTAATTAAGAGTTTTGAAATGATGGGAGGGCTGACGCATGCAGTTTACAACGCGTATAACAAACACAGCTAAACACTCAAGATATGACAGGTGATCAAGCTTGCATAGACTTTCCATTCACCCATGCACCCACATGAATGGAAACACTGTTTCAGAGACACTAAATTCATAAGTTTGTACGAATTTTGTTTTTTCTATTCTACTATAAATATCAGGCATCTCTCCGTCACAGTTTCCGCGTTTCTGTGAAGTCTCTTAAAATGTTTTTTATTTCCTAACAGTAAGATCACGGTTAATATGCACATAATTGTTTTTAATTGCATGTTTCTTGGCACACTCGACATCAAATTGCACAGCAAGTACGTTGATCACTGAAGCTAAAAACCCGTTACGTTGAAAATATTGGGGCGGGTTTTTTGAGGCATAACTATTAAGTCACCCTTTTCAGGGAAGGGTTTAGCCGTTAAATAATAAGCCGTTAGAGAGTTTAATGTGTATCAGGGGCGCCGTGGGTGTGCTAATGTAGGGATGGCCAAAGGCAACATTATTCCGACAAGCACATTTTTTTTCCGACATCTTTATAATAAAAAAGTAACGAATATTGACAAAACTGACAGGGGGTTTTGGGTAAGGACGCGCAGGCATTTGCTATGACAAAGATCACGAGCTACGTCTACTAATTTAAATTGACGCTTCATGCACAATGAATATGACCGATAAATATTCACGTTTTACATACGCTTTTCAATTGAGTAGTTGAATAATTTTTGATACAGTTAACTGTTTGTGGGAAAACTGTATTACAGAGATTCTAATCCACATGCATTAACAAATAACGCGATACGTTATTTCACGATACTCTATTATAGCTTTGTAATCTTAGTGGATGAGCATACAGCGTATTCTATACGCAACATTTGTTTGTAACCAAAATATAAACATATTCGCAAATGCTTCCATCCTCTCATCAGTTTACTTCTTCCGCTGTACTATCGTGGTACCTTATCTTTTATAAACTTCAGGAACCGTTTGACTAAAAGTACTATAAACTTGAAAAGGATTTGCTGTAGCTCCAGCATTCTGATACGGGACATGCTGGTGTTTCTTTGGACGGTCACCATATCAACGCAATAAACTGTAAAAACTCACTGAACAATAAATGCGGTCAAAGATACATGGCCATTCATCGCGATTTTATCGCGCCAATCTCCGACATTTCGAAAATTACATTCCTTGCGTAATGTTATATTAATAGAAACTATGCATGTTTATCGGAAACTGGAAACGTTCGGAAGAAACAGCTAGTTTAGCCTGCGCGACAACAGTATAATAAAAACTTGGGGTAGTGTCGTACCGTATAATATTAGAAATAACCGCGTCTATTTTCTGATAGTTCAAATACTTTTGGGTTGTTCAGCATAACACAGCCACAAATGCAAAAATAGCTTAGTCTCTGTTATGATTGATAAACTCCGACAACATGCAATGTTCGTAAATTTCCGACAGGTTTGAATCCTGGGGGGGGCCATGGCCCCCCCTGGCCCCCCCGGCCACGGCGCCCCTGATGTGTATTCACACAAATTTAAAGTTGTGACAAATTTCGGGGCTTTAGTTTCTTTACAACAAAAAAATCATTTAGTTGCAACATTAATATAAACAAACAGGATCAAAAATTGGTCAGTATTGACTATTGTTACACCTGTGTATCCTATTACAATTTACATAGTGGATTTTTAGGCTGTGAACGCATAAACCGGCTGTCGTATTTCTGTCAGCAACGATGATTAAATCAAGTAACATGCAGCCCCCTTGGTACAGAGTAAGGGCCCGCACACACAAACTGAGTTTAAAGCCTAGGCCTTCCTTCGTGTTCTCGCTAATTTACATAATTTAGCTACGTGTTTTCAAATTTTGTTTGTCATGTGAATAATTTGACTCCGTTAAACTTGACTGCACATAACCTAATTCAAATGTTGTATGCTTGAATAGCTTATCAGGTAGTCGTTAGTTGAGCGTTGTGGAAGATAGACGTGCAACCCTGAACACAGTAGGGCACTTCATAAAGGTTTTTACACCAAATCTTGAAAACTTGAAAGCGGGTAAGTGGTAAATGAATATATTTTATTTCTTTTAAACAGCAATAAATAAATTTCCTATACAGTTCATCGGCTCGCCCATGAGCCGCGAGCATGGCTAAAATGCAACTATGTTCAATGCTAGTCAGTCCGAAGAAGGAACGCCCTGGGATATGAAAGTTTTTAAAAGTATCAAGTATTTATCTCTCATGACGCATGCAAAGTTAAAACAGTTGAACCATTTAAACGGTCAAGCATGTATTTATTTAACTATAGTGGATCCTTTACGCCTGACTACGACTACATTTAATAAATATTGAGTGCGTATTTTATTCATTTCAGTAGTAAATAGTAATGATGGTTTAAGATTACCATGTTTGATAGAATTGAACTTAACTGCTAAGCAAGTCTGAGGGCTGTGCACATGATCCGCATTTATAGCCAAGATTTAACGAAGCGTAAAATGATTTTGAGGTATTGAAATGAGTAAATGACATGATCCTGGTAGTGCTTGGTAGATGCATGTGCTTGTTTTGTTTCAAAAAGACATATTTTAATCCCTCAAAATCATCTCACGCTTAGTTAAGTCTCGGGTAACCGGGTCTCAAGCGAACAACCCCTAAAAGCGCAACAACGCGGTTTTGTCCGTTAATAATTAGTGGCCCAATATACATCTGATTATATATTCTCAACCTTGGCTTCAGTCTTTTACCAACTGTATCCTAGCGGAACGATGTTTGTTTCTTTATGACTCGATCATTCATGAGAGAACTAATGACTTTTAAACAAAGAAAATGCAACGGTTCTTGATGCTAATTAAAGGACGTTTCACTTCATGATCGGAAACGATCCGCCAACTTACAACATTTAGTCGCCCACAACATTTACAAAAGGCTTACAGATAAATGCAGAGGGAATAGATTTTGAGGAATAGGGTGAATCAATAAACTTTAATGACTTGAATGTTTACTAGTTTTGATAAAGAGCAAAGGCCAGTCTTTCACCCAGATGCTTTTTTGGAAAATATAAGATTACGTCAGACATATCGAATCGTTTATGAACGTGGGCAGGACACCTGCACATGGATTTTGGAGGTTCTAAATTGCTGACTCATACATAGCTTAGGTTTCTATTCGATATGATTGCTGCAAGGGCTAAAAGCCTAACGAAATGATCGTGTATGATGAGACATTAAAATTAGCCAAATGCTTCAGTGTTATAACTCACGGTTACACCACATTAATTCTATGAATAAACTCTGTTAGTCTAGAACAAACTTTGTTACTAAAGTTGTCCTGGCAACCAGGGACATTTTATCGCTATATAAGAGACAACAATCTAGACTTCCTGTGGTTTGCTATATATATTCTGGGCGCTTCCTCTTTTTAGCCACTGATCTCTATATAGAAAGAAACTTTTATACCGTCTCTACTAAAGCCCTGGTTACTAGGGAGAATGTAAGTTCAATTATGATTATATCAGAAATCTGATGTAACCGCTCAAAACTCACTGGAGTAGCCCTCTTTTCAAACGTATATGACATTTATTTCTAGCTAAGCTGGTTATCTGCTTTTTTTATTAGGTAAAATGACGCCATTCAGAAATTTCTTATCGTCCGGCTTGATCGTAATAATGTTCCTGATCATAACCGGGGTGAATGCAGATTGCTACACAAGATGTGCAATTGTTCATATCGACTGTTTTCGTGGATGCATATTACAATGCGATGATTGTGTTTCCAGTCAACGGATTTGTTTCGACAAATGTGCCAACCAAAATCAAGCCAGAAAACGAAATTTGCTCCACGAACGACTGTTCCAGTATGTCAACCAATATACAAAGAATTGAAATGAACACACTTTGAAATGAACAATATTAAGTTTTTTGGACAATTCTTCTTGATATATGTGCAGCGGTGGATATTTTGTAATATTCTGCGTCTAATGATCTTCTCTAGAAATTTCATAGCCAGTGGCTTTTTGAAGAAAAGAACAACTTAGAATTAAAAGAATATTTAAATGGATGCTGTATAGTTATTGCCTAATGAATTATTTGTTTATAACGAAGTTTTAATAGTAAAGTAATCGATAATCATATCTTCAAAACTTCTTGAGCGATCCTAATTTTTACAGCCGATTTCTCGTTGAGCAATCACGTTGTCCCATTAGAATATTAATTCCAAGTATGTGTATTTCACCAATGAAATAAAGACCATTGGAGTATTTCTCATCAGTTAAAATGACAAATATATTGATGGATATATTGATAATGCTTAACAACCTTAACGAACAAAAGGAGATCAAATTGCTAAAACCAAAATTATAAAGTCCACGTTTAACCACTTATCTCGTTTACGGTCATTTACACTTTGAAAGAAAATTAATCTATTTTCTAATCTGAATTTTTGAATCTATTTTAAAATCTAATCTGAATTTTATTTATTAATTAAAATGTTTGACCACATACATTAACACATATAACAGAAAACTTAATGGCCAAAATCGTTTCCAGGTATATACAATACTGCGGTTAAACTGGTGTTTTGATAGCCGAAACGGACTTTCAAGTTTTCCCTACAAATAATAAGAAAGATAAAACAGAAAAACAATGAAACTGATATGCGTGAAAGTATTTTACCCAGTAACTGCGCATAACCTGCACGAGTGGTAGTCGGCTCCGTTCCCCCTGCGTTGTTATATTTATCAGAAAAATATCTTCGATGATAATTTGAAGATGTTCGAGTCTCTCTTTTTTCCAAAGCCAAGGAGAAAACCCTTGAAAAGCAATTCAGTTTAAGGTGGCACAGAGTGGACAACGGTTTCGTTGTGATAATATTCTTGTAAGTTTGCATGGTGACATCAATAAGTAAATTAGTTTGTAGGTACACAACGCGAGTATTTATAATACTGCAAAGCTGAAGGCTCGGGTTAACGGACCGAAAGCTTTGCAGTATTAAATACTCACGTGAGTGATCTACAAACTAATTTACTTAGTTTCATTGTGGCCGAAACACGACATACATCATGCACAAACATAAACTGATTCCTCTCGATGTCTCGACCAAGGCTTGGCCCGCCTTTGCCCTTCGTCGAAGTAAACTCGAAACATTGAGAAGTTTCTCATCGATTTTTTTCATTCGAATAATTGATAAAAGAAAGTGGAGAAAAAAATCTGCTATGTTCGGCAACCTCGTTGCAATGTCCTGGCAGAATACTGATCCAGCTCAAATTGTCTCGAATTGTGATAAATTCTAATCATCCATTTATATACATATGCATATTATGAGTTTGATTGAATAAAGTGCACAATCATTTTTATGTTCTGAGTTTCATTAGTTATACGTCCACGCACTTGGACCTTATGAACAATACGGGATATTGTATCAAATTAGAATGTAAGATTGACACTTTCCTGCAGATCAACATAACAATTTTGATTATGCATATGACAACGGCGGTAGATTTTGTAAAATTTGCGGCTTCTATAAATTATTAGCGCTCGAAAGATTAGAATTAGAGATAGTCCTGATAATGAGATTGCCGAGAGATTATTGAGAGTCAAAAAACTGATGCAGGGAAATTGAAGGATATTACTGTTTTATTATTAAATAAATCGAGACAAAAGAAGAAAATTGATTCAAACAACTGTTGCTTGTAAGCGGACGACAAACGTTTATCAATTTTGTCTGCCAGTATTTCCAAAATGCAGCGTACTCATTAAATCTCTTATTGGGGTATATGACGTTTCATTTGTTGTTTTTAGCGCTTCATTAATTTTGATAAAATGGAGGAGAAGATTGTGTACAATATCTGCAGATGTTACAACATAATGATAGCAAATAATTGCAATTAATAATTAGTTTGCGTGACGACCACAAACCAACGTTCTTCGTAAAAAGCATTTATAAAAAGGCAAGGAAGAACGCTATTTTATAATTCACGGTGGAAATCTTGGAAGAAAGAGCAATTGAAAAATCAAAAATTAAAATTCTAAAATGGTGAGTACATGATTTCATAATGCAACTCGGTCACTGGTATTTGAATATACAGCTACTAAGTTCAGTGCAATTTTTATTTTCAATATATCCGCATGACTACATACATGATCCGCTAGCCGCTAAATGACCGGAATCCTTCAGATTGAACGGTTTAAACAGAAGAGAACTTCATCCTGTGATATTAATTTCCCGGAAAGCATGTAGATATTGAATGAGTTAAAGTAATTAAACACCGCCGACGGTAAAACGTTAGGACGATTATTCAGCTGAGCATGCACCACTGAGCATGCAGTGTCTTTTAAACAAGGTACCACATGCACACAAAGGCAAATGTTTAGTTAGTTCAAAAAGAATATTCGTAATGTGTAATAATGAGTAATTGGTTTAATATGCCGCCATTCGTGCATGTGGCTCTTAGCTATATATGTCTAGTTCTACACAGGTTATTTATTGTGCTTAACTTGCCATCCATGCATCAGTATATTAAGCCCGGTGAAATGACTTTTCGTATATAGTTCTTATACGCGGAATTGAAAATGATGATTTATATTCAGTAAAAAATTGCGGTAAAAACGTAGGCCCAGTCTGGATAGAAAATTGTTGTAAAAGTTGGTCAAAATCACATGACACTCTCCTAATTCTGACTCGTTCGTCACGCCCCTGACCGTGCGTTGAGTTGATGTCGAAAGTTCAGTCTAGAATTTGTCGTCAAATTAAACACGTTTAGTTAAGGCTTTAGCCGCTGGTTATACCAAAACCTTTAGTTCTATTTACTGGGACGGCAAAACTAGGGGGGAGGACGGGTAGGTGCCAGGAGCAAGAGGCAGCGGACGCGGCTCTTTCCATTTGAATGATTAAACTGCAATTTGTTATAAACTTCACGAATACTCTCAGACATCGAAATCGTCCAATTACTGTTGGTGTGCTAAGATGTGCGTCAATACAGAAGTGTTCAATCAAGACAATCTGCCCCCCCCCCCCCCTATTGCCTTGCATCGTTCCAGTGTCCCTGCTTATCCATAACAAAATCTCAACCATGGTCTTATTATGCCATCAAACAGTAAAAATTCAGTAACACGTGAATATTTGTATCTTTTAGATGAAAATCGTAGGATTGACGTTGATCATTGCGTGTTTTCTTCATAACAATATTCCCACCAGCGCTGCAAGCAGAGTTAAAAAATGTGGGTGGATGTGTCAAGCAGAAGTGACAAGATGCGTTAACAATATTATGTGTGGCAACACCAGGGCATGTTTACATCGCATGGATGAATGTATCATGTACAGAATGCCATGCGTTAAAAATTGTATGTCGGCGTAAGAGTACAGAACGCTATAAAACTTTAACGAGACTACCTTTATTAATAACGTTAACATCGTACCACACTGAAGTATTAATCGATAATCGTAAACAGTAAAAATTATTAACATAACAATTGGCTTTTTGCATCATTATCTCACAAAACAGTAGTAGCTAAAGGGGCTGTTTGTTAGAAATTAGAATGGGACTAAACTTGCGACTTTCACCTTCACTTTTCTAACCTCACGGTGGTCGAGGTACATACAAGAGATCGATGATGTTGTTAACTGAACTTAAGAACTATAACGGCTTATATATAACTAGTTGTCGTGACTCGTGAATATAAATAAGCTGATATACACCTACGGTAGATCTACCAGCATTACACAACATTAGTTCTCTGATCCCTGGTTATATATACGCAAATTGTAGAAAAACCATTTCTGCATGTTTGAAAATTACCAAAGAGAAGGGGCGGGGAAGAAGAATTTCGAATTCATTTCTTGACGCGGCGATATTTCAAGATTCTACTGTGTAAATATTAGTGCCCTTAAATTGACGACATGTTATGTGTTTTATATTTGAATTGCATATTTTCCATAGAAGACTACTAGACTTCACTAGACTTCACCCATTAATTGTTCGTAGACGTTCGAATTATATTTATGATCGTTTTATTGTCCCAATCTGCAGTGCTGCAGAATCTCGAAAGGTTAAGGTCGGGCGCGTGATAGCAAACAGCAAAAATTTCGCGAATATACATGCAATTCAATGTTTAAATTCCGGAGTCTGACATCTTGAATATTAGTGATTCCATTGAAGACATGCATATATTAGTGTAAACGGCTACGAATACTTCATAAACATGTATAGGAAGAGGCTGCTTAGTGCTGAGTGGGTATAACGAGTTAAACCGATGAAGAGGGATTCCGGAGATAATTTTTCACATATGCGCTCATTGAGAAAAGAAAATATCAGTCAAGCCACCCAATAATGTATTTGTGTTGTTTGGGGAACGCCAAACTCTGTTAGGATTTGATAAACGTATAGCGTTAATGCATGAGTTTTATCTACAATATTAAATTATAATGGCATGTTGTAAAACACGGACTGGACTGCATTTGTAAAACACGGACTGGACTGGACTGGATTTAAAATCTGTAAAACGCGGACTCAAAATCTGTAAAACACGGACTCAAAATCTGTAAAACACGGACTCAAAATCTGTAAAACGCTAAGTTTGAACTACAAGCGGGTCTGGCTTGCATGGTTAATTGATTTGAAAGGAAATTAACTGCAGGGTCTTCATATTTCATTTGGCAGTTTTCACACCTTTCTGTCGGCTATACTATTACTTCAGTTCAGAGTGTTAGCAAGATTCCCAAGTAACTACACCAAATTCATAAATATTATATAATGCGTTCTAACCCATAGACAAGTTATTTCAATTTTAAAAATTTTGTTTTTAAGTAGCTATCACCAGTTTCGTACAGGCTGTAACCTTAAATTGTAACAGCTTATATTATTTCGTATCCGGAAATACAAACTGTCAAACAGCTGCATTCATGCGACGATTGTGTATGATAGTCTGTCGTGTATAGTCTGGACTGAAAACCAAGTTACTTCAGTGGTATACTTTAAAATGGCAGGGAGCTTTAAGCTTCCGAAAGTTGTTTTAAAACAAAAGGATTTAGAGCTTCCGAGATTTGCCTGGAAAAGCATTTCCAAAGAAAAAAAACTTGGATCTGGCAGTTTTGGGTCGGTATATTTGGCTACATATGGTAGCACTTCGCAACAAAATGTCGTTGTCAAGAAACTTAAAAGTCTTAACATCGACTCCCAGACGCGCTTCGTAAAAGAAGCAAAAATCCTGAACAGCGTTAAGGGCCACCGTAACGTAAGTTCGTTTATAGGATTTTGCAGTGAGCCGTATGCCATTATGATGCAATACTCAAGTTTCAACTTTGGCTATTTTGGTTTAGAGAAAATGGTGAGTTCTCTTGCCGACTTTCTACAGTTTGTTGAGACTGAATTCGAGTTTTCATCATTTTCGGAGTTGTTGCCGATTTGCGTAAAGGATATAGTTACTGGGCAAGACTATTTGAACAACAACAACATTGTTCATCGTGATCTTAAACCGAGCAATCATTTGAAGCAATGGATTATGCTGGTACAGCAAGCCAGTAACCAAACTATTTCAGTAGTTGCTTTTCTAAGTAGAACAAATTTATTTTGTATGTAATAATGAACTGTTTTCTGCGTTTACAGCACCGGAATTTAAGGCGATGTTACATGTAACAATTTTCAACATCAACTCGCAACGCAGTAATAAACAAAAATTTGAACATAAAAACGTTTCATAAAAACTGCTCATATAGCTATATACCATATTCAACGCATAAACCTTTTTCAAAAACATCAGTTATCGCGGCGTTGCGAGTTGATGTTGAAAACGTTTTCGTGTAACATTTAATTTACCTTTCAACAATGGGAAAGTAAATTAACGTAAAAACATTTAGATTGCTATTAAATTAAATATAACAAATGATCATCATGTTGTACAACTGATTGTCGAGTCCGCGTTTTACAGATTTTGAGTCCGTGTTTTACAGATTTTGAGTCCGTGTTTTACAGATTTTGAGTCCGTGTTTTACAGATTTTGAGTCCAGTCCAGTCCAGTCCGTGTTTTACAAATGCAGTCCAGTCCGTGTTTTACAAATGCAGTCCAGTCCGTGTTTTACAACATGCCAATTATAATGTTACAACTCAATATATGCCGAGGAAAATAATTACCGGGCCGGACAACGCTTTCATCAATATTCTAACGTGATATTGTAAAAAATTGTATAGACTATAGCGGCGTAATCTCGTATTTCTTTCGTGAATATCAATATTAACCATGATTAAATCATGATAATAGAAAAAACAACTGTGGCATGGGATGGCAATTTTTCAAATTCAATTCATTCAAAATTAATCATTAATTATTCAAACATCTTTCGACGTAATTCTAGATATCAGAGTGAAGTTGGACCAAATCAAAAGAGATGTTCAACAACATAATTGAATAAATAGTTTTCAATTAAAGAAGATTAGTAAATCTCTGGCTTCATTTCACCATAAACGATGAAACATCTTTTAACAATGCGACGGCAATTTTATGATCACACGGAGTTTAATAAATTCAAACAATAGCGTCAAACTGATAATTATGCAAATGTTTGCTCAAACAATCATAACAAACCAGTCATTGGTGGACACGATTTCTGGCATCAATTGTTTTCCACCTCTTGTATAAATAACAAGACACTCTAGCGTTCTTCTTCACACGAAGACAGAAAGTGCACGAAAGAGACAATATAACTAAAGTTCAAGGTATGTATGTATATATCCAATCGTATATAGATTTATCTCAGCCTTCAGTCACTCCCAAAAATTCCTAAAGCTAAAGCAAAGACAAGTTAAGCTCATAATCTAACCGATATAGTAGTTTTAATTGTGTTTCCGACATCCAATTATTATATATATTGTAGTTATATCCTATAATGATTATAGTTGAATTGACATTGGAATATTTGCCTTACATTAATAGTGGGATACAATTGTCAGTGAACATTTTCATTTTCAAAAGAATTACCATTATAAAACAAGTGTAATACATGTTGAACCAAATCGCTAATTCAACTGACAAATCACAAATATGTCAAAATCGCCAAAACTCTATTGCGATTATAGCAATTATCATACTCAAAAGATATATAGAAAAGAATTTAGTGTATGGCTTTCCATATAGCTAAATAAATCATATTACATATAATATAATAGATATCATATGAAAAATTGAAAAATGTTGCGTAGTGATGGTGTATAGCTTATTGGAAGTGGCAAGACAATACACAAAACTCTTCTTTGCCATGACAGGCCATGTATATACCAGGAAAAAATTATTCATGTTGAAAATTTATACCATTAGTTACGTACTATGCATGGTTCTGCATTAAATTCACCGGCTTTACTTGAAAATTTTTATAGGTAAGTTACTATAAATAAGATTATATTAAAAAGCTTAAAGAAGGTATAATTTTTGTAGCGAATCGTTCTACACTGCATATTAACCATGAGTGCATATACAACGCTTCAAACTTTATATATGTACATGTACAGTCGGAATATTATTGGGCTAAAAACAAACTGAAACTCAATTCTCAAAATTTCTTTTTATAAATTCGATTAAAAGTTAAAACATGCATGATAATCTGTTTACATAACTCAACGATAATATTAATTGCTATAACAACAGAACAATATGATCAGTTCAAATTATCTGCCCCCGTTGCATTTAAGTTTGCCCATTTTTTTGTCAAAACATCCGAAATATTGGTCCGTCTGGGAGATATAAACGTCGTATTTATTAGCCGTTGAATATGTTTTTATACATCTTTCTGGCAGTTTCTGCATACTTCAAGTCTATTTGATAATTTATATAAAGTTATTTTTTCGACAGCGGCGCGTATATATATATATATATATATATATATATATATATATATATTAGAGATGATATCCATCGATGAAGCATTATCATTGGTCGTTACTGCTTAAATATTGGCAGTATAATCCGTAATTTTGAGCAATAAGTATAATGTTTAACTAATATTAGAATGCAGGTTACAGGAACTCGCTATAGAGTGCTCTGTTCTGCATGCGAAACTATAAATTTCGAATGGATTTCGTTATCTTTTCAGATCGATATCAGGAATGTCATCAAGAGTATATTTGATGATCTTGCTGTTAGCGTTGTTCGCCATCACAAGTTGTGCAGCTGATTGTTGGGCTGATTGTGAGACTGCTTATGCACGATGCTTCCAGGATTGTAATTTCGAAGAAGGTTGTCTCCCAGAATGTGCAAAGAAAAACAATGCCTGTAAAATGAATTGCTAATTATTTTGGACTGCAAATGGTTGTCATATATATATACATATATTTATTTTTTCAATGTCAAAATACTGTTAACTCGTGTATGTCTGTAGAAGTAAACAAGCTTAAGAAGTTAAGGAATGAAAAGAATTATTTGCATTTGAAGTAAAAAAATGTTTAAAAAATGTCATACGACATAATTTAGCTAATTCCTGTTTATAATTGTATCCAACATAACAAATAAATTTAAAACATGAATGTTGATTGGTTAAGAAAGTATAATTAAAGAGATATAGCAAAGAAATCGCTCGTTACCGTTTCTTACAAATTCAGAATAAAGATGAAAATGGAAATCTTACTGCTTGATTTTTGATGGTTTATATATCAATTACATGGCGAGAGCCCATCTCTCCATTAAGCCTCTCTCTCTATTTGGCCCCTCTCTCTATTAAGCCCCTCTCTCCATTACGCCCATCTCTCCATTAAGCCCCTCTCTCTATTAGGCCCCTCTCTCTATTAAGCCCCTCTCTCTATCAAGCCCTGCCTCTCCATTAAGCCCCTCTCTCTATTAGGCCCCTCTCTCTATTAAGCCCCTCTCTCTATCAAGCCCCGCCTCTCCATTAAGCCCCTCTCTCTATTAGGCCCCTCTCTCTATTAAGCCCCTCTCTCTATCAAGCCCCGCCTCTCCATTAAGCCCATCTCTCTAATAAATCCCTTTCTCTATTAAGGCCCGCCTCTCTATTAAGCCCCTCGCTCTATTCAAACTGTTGAACTTGCAGACCATTTACAAATTTGTATTTTGTTTTTGTATATATAATACTATGAACGTATAGTTAAATACATTACATTTTGCAAGAGATTTTACGCACAACTAAATAAGCCCCCCTCTTAATTAGGCCCCGTCCGTAATAATGTGCCTGGTTTTAATTTTTCTGACATAGATTTTTTTGACATGAACGCATGCAGTTATAGGAGGGCTTATTATAAAGTCATTGGAGGTTATTTAATATTTTAAAAATTTTAATCGTCAGACTATACTTAAAAACGTTTAATTTGCTATTGAGGAATGTTTTATAATCTATCGATGTTTCGTTAAAAAAAAATCTATGACTAGGCTGTATATAACAGGAAAGAATGAAATATATATTTACATATACGACAATTTAGTATGAATAAGGCACTTGATTTGTATTCACAATAATGTTAATGGTAATGTTAATTTTAATACATATTGGAAACAGTCTTTTATAATTTTTATTTTATTCTATGGGCTTTCATTCGATAATATATATATCCTCACAATTCATTAGCTAAATATAAAATCCACTAAAATAAATTAATCTACTTTCACATATACTATTTTATAAATATGATGGATAATTTCTTTCTGGAAAATCTTGTGAGACGTTACTTGCCCCACTAAGGCTAACTCGTCGTTCAATTATTGAATGTACACGTTGAGAGCGACAAACGCCAGGTCTATTTTCTACATTTGACCCATGGTGGGTGCTCAAAATCCTTCTGCTATCTGCATGGCAACATTCACAAAAGTGCTGTTCAGCATATGAACAACATTTTGGACAGACATGCACCGGTGTCCTTTGTTCCATACGTGTTAACATCCCCGCTCGGTGATTAGAACTCACTCCGGGAACATTTGGGTTGTTATTTACACTTTCATCAGCAGAAAATGGATGCTCATAAAATGATCTGTTGGTTGACTCTGACATACAGGCTGTGCTCGTACGAGACGAAGATGGTCGATGGCTGGTGTGAGAAGATGGATGTTGACTTAAAGTTGTCTTTGTTGCATTTTCATGTAACCTTTGACGTCTTATTCTTATAATAATGATTGCAACAATGGAAAATGTTATAACAATCAAAATTACGAGAATACCAATAAATGTCATTTTGGCAAGTCGCCTTGATCTTAACTGAGACCTTGTTGATGATGCAGAGACAGGAGTTTTTGATCCGTCTAGAAAATCAAAGATTTAGTCAAGTATACAAATATGCGTTTACAGACAATTGCATGCCGATGTGTAAATATTAAAGAAATAAACCTATTAAATGAACATTTAACTGGAAACTTTGTATATTATACTACAATATAACACTGCAGTCTGCCTCAAAAGTATGATTCGTTTTTACGCTGCCTCAATGATCAACTGTGAGGCTGTGTATTTTTACACCGAAGTGCACCGTACTGCAAAAAGGAGTGCTTAATATGGAGAATGGCGATCTCAGGCGACTGTATATAATAGGTTTAGGTAATATGACATGTATACTTAATCTGTATTATTCGTATTTCACCGAATGCGCACATTATTTAAATATCAGATTACCTACCGACGCTAGAATATGAAAGCTGGAAACCAAAACTGTTTTGCAGCTGGAAATTTCCATTAGTGCCATTATTCTCATACCATATTGAAACTATGTTAGATGTACTGTAAATATCGTCAACTTGAGTTTGACTTTGATGTGTTATTCTCTTCAATATTTCCGAGTTAGAACTATTTCCATCTCTTATCACCACTGATGCGTTTTTTTCAAGGTTTAAGGAATCAAACCATATTTTTATTGTCTTTTGTTTCGCTATCTCAATGAACCAGTGACAATTTGACCGTTCTTTAGTTATGAAAGACACACGAGACTTCGGGGATATGATAGTACCAGCAGGCATAGAGAACACGCAGCCACATGATTTGCACTCTACAGGAAAATATTATACAAAAATTGTATGTATGCCCTTAATTTAACTTAAATAATTAACAAACAAAAAGGGTGTGTAAAAAGTTATAACAATTACTAAATAGTTATGAATGAAACATTAAGCGTGACGAGTTTCGTTGAGCATTGGTGGTTAAAGGTCTTCCATATACCCGGTACATTAGACAAACATATTAGTCATAGAGAACTAGCTCAAAATAGTCGCATAATTTTCATTCATTTTGTTAGGTTGTCATGAATTATCCTTTAACTAGACTTTTATACTTAACGAGTGATTTTCGTTAAATTACCCAGCAAGAAATTCGTTTTATGTTCCTATTGTATGTATTAAAAAATGTCCTTATTTAAAAATGTATTTCACGTGACCTCACACCTGACGTCATCACGTCTTCTCAATAATCTCACAAGATCAGGGGCGGACTAAGGCGGTGCATTGCTAGAACACCCACTCGTCAGCGAGTCTGAAAACTTCATATTTAGTTGGCAAAACTTTTGAATAGAATAGACTTTTCTTATCTAATGATATCGTGCTACAGATCTTAGAGCAGCAAATTGAACAATGCAAACACTCTAAGACGGGCGTTTCCGGAATTTTCCTTGATCGAACAACCATGGTGGCGCCATTTACACTTTCTACATCTGGGTTTTATGTTTATATTTCAACATTTGGCTGATCGCTTGGTCTTGGACGTTTAGATCGTTGCGTCCCTAAGCCAAGACCTTACCTTCACATGGCGACAGCGAACATGACTTTGACTCTATGCCCTTTCCGGCGCAAAGTGAGGTATCGTCTGATTTTTGAAAGCGATAACTTTCTAAAGGACAATATCTCAGTCTGTATTTCTTTCCTTTGCCACAGCCACCAAACGCAGTACAAGAACTCCAAGCTGACCATTTCGACCACTCAGTCCATTGAGGTCCTATAACATGAAAATGTTTTACGATTAAAATCTTAATTTATTCTCGGATTTAGGCAGTGGATTTAATGGTCGTTCATTTCGGTATTCATTCCCCGATTTTAGACCATTGAGTAGACCGAGCAGGTGGAAGTGTGGGTACTGGAAACTGTAAAATTCTAATTACAGTAAAACGTATTCATTTTAAATAATAAGCATTTGCTACTTGAGGCGTTTCTCAGTTCCTGACGGCAATCGAATGTATAGGGTATGAAGTGAAGCATTTGCATACTTCTTTATAAACTCTATAGATTGCGGAAATTTCTCACCCTACTGTAATATCAACTAAATAAATGGTTTCCTGAATGTAAGAAACAAAGACAAGGAGGAGAAAAATGAGTTGTAAATGAACTTGGAACGTAATTGTGAGATAATGATCTGGTGTTGTCATGATCTTCAAAAGCGAATATCTCTCTTCCTCGCTGTCAAACAACAAGATTGGTCGAAACTTTACCGACTGAGATTTGTTTAGCGATAAAATAGATTGTCATGTCCTTAGACCAACGTGTTTTAAATGCGTCAGTATATATCAAAATCAAATCAATCATTTATACATACCCGTTCGTTTTTTTGAAGGCACGCACAGAGTTGCTTGGACCTTTCTTTCATTGGTCAAAGAAGACTTTGTGGTGTAGTAAAAGCAATAATCACGAATTTGCTTTTTAAATATTGCACATGAGAAAAATGCGGATCTGAAACCATGGAAAGCTCTTTGAGAGTCAATGACGTTATTATAAACCTTGGATCTCATTTCAATCTTGTCTTCGGTTCTGTCGCAATAACCAGGTGAAGAAAATTTGATCACAAAGGAATTAGAGCAAGGGAATATACTTTTTGATTGAGCTGTAATCTCATACTTTCCCCAGATGACGCTTATGTTATGACTTCTCGCTATTGTTTTGTTGGTGTACTCTGAAATATATACCAAGTAAAATATTCCAGGTGTGTCAAACATATCACAGCGAAATTGCACTCGTGATCTGCTTTCAAGTTTCTCTTTCTTGATTTTCTTTGTGGCGACTAAAACATGCTCATTACTGCTCTTTATCCAAAACAATTTTAAGTTTCCTCTAAAGGGTTTGCAACGTCCTTGTTTGCTGTTCAACCATGCTGATAACGAGCCACCAAATGCCGTGTGGTTCTTCTTTACTTCAATATGAACTTTTTCGCTTCGGACGATGAATGGTTTTGATGTCAACAACCTGAATTTCTTTGTAATACCTTGTATAAAGTATTCAATAAAGTATCGACCTGGCTTGGAAAATATCTCACACGAGATTTCCAATTGTGTTTGATTTTCACGCGAACTCTTATTGATAGTCTTTACCAGCTTATTTCTGTTCAAAAGCCTCAGTTTAATAACTTGATTTGAAATGTTGTGCTGGCTCTGTTCTTTACCAAACCGAAATGTCAGTTTTATTGAAGTTTCGAAACTACGAAATCTCCTAACCGAAGGAGTGTACGACACCCTAAAGGATCTTGAAGGAAGTCGCTTGTTGCTAGTACAGCCTAAAATGAAAAGGGTTTAATATGATAAAAAGGCAGCAGATTCTGTCACGATAGAAAGCTCAAATAATTTCTCTTCGACGATGCTCAATTTAGACATGAATTTCAAACACAGCCAGAGCCAGAGGCAGAGCAAGACAGCCAGAGGATTATTATTATTAATTGGTATTGTAAACAGTGAATTATAAATTACTTTTATATAAACATGCGTGTGCATGGAAAATGGAAAGATACGAATTAACGAAAAATAAAGCGTCGCGTATATACACAGTATATGCAAGGCCGTCGCAGAATTTTTGAGCTTGGGGGACAGTGATCTTGTATAGGGAACGGTGTGTTTTTATAAACAGGACATTACATACAACTTCTGAAAATTGTAAGTTACATTTTTTTTCTAGGGGGAGCTGCCAACCTGATCCCCCCCCCGCTATGTACGGCCCTGGGTATATACTGTTGTATGTGATGACTGCAAACATCTGCAGTTTATATAATTGCCAAAATAGTTGCATAAATATTAATTCCTGTTTTTATTACGCGAGTTTATAGCGATATGAACTAAAATCGTGCTAATAATGTGCATGTTTGCAATGAGACAAGAATTCTATTCTAAACAACGTAAATATATCTCAATTTTGGTTATCAAAGAAATTCTCGACCAATCTTGATATGAAGATTAAACGAGAACACAAGTTACAAACAAGCATGCACAACTACACATTGAAGCCCTGCGGAATCGCAAATAGCAAATTAACTGCCGATAGTATACGGACTATACATTGCACAAACCTTAATGCAGTTTATATATACGTTATTTTTGTTAAATGTATGCCTTGTGAATTGCAGCCAGTTTATAATAACAACTCAAGCGACCTTAAAATATCCTTGTCTAGCATACCTGATATTTGAAGCAAACCAATAACAATGACAATGTATATGTTATGAGGGTCCATCGTATAGAATCATCAGTATATCTGTCGTTCAGCAAACCACGGATATAAACTATAAGACAAATAAAGATAAGATACTTGCATGAAGGTTATATAGTTTGTCTTTCCAATAGAAACGCTAACATAATAATCATACGAAAGTCATACATGAATGAACGAGCATTAATATCAGGCTATTGTAAGATCTTTTCACAATTTCCGAGCTGAATTAATCAGGTACAATTAAGGTGATGACAAAGTGCAATTATCACTCCACGCCTCCAATTCACCTTTAGCTGGCTTGCGACAAAAGACTTGTTATAAAGAATACGAGCAATTATATTCCCTGTTTCCTGTTAAGTAAAAGGTCATATATGCTATAATATGTCATTAGCTAGTTTTATATTACGACTTCGTAAATATTGAACAAAAGCTTGGGACAATATGCTTACACTCATGCAGTGAAACAATATTGTGGCGTGTAGTCTTGCCATCGCGCGATGCGGGATAATCTTCACACCAGGTTCAAAATTCATTCAAACGGATTTGTCTATCAAAAAGTTGACTATCACTTTGACTGTCTTATATAGCTTGCATATTTCACTATATATACTATGCCTATAACACAATAATTGGTATTTGTTCAGACTTCAGACAAACAGTTTGATTTATCAGTGACAGTATATACCTATCAATATTATCAAATAGCTAGATGCCATAATTGAAAAATCGGCAACTGAGTTCTCCATAATTCAAAACATTTCAAATGATATTACCTTTTGGGCTTTTGATATTCCTAATGAAAGAAAAGTAGACACTTTCCGAATTTACCCATGCAGCCAATGACAATGAAAAGAAAGGAACAGCAGTTGCCTGCCAATTGCAGTAACCAGTACGTATAGACTGCCCACTTTTTATAAGTTGTACACTGTCTCATGAAATTAAAATTTGGAAGTATGCATGCAGGATTCTATAATAAAACATTCACATGCAGTTCACTGTTGCTATGCGTCTATTCAATATTTAGTCTATAGACTATATTTAAATTTAAACGAAAAACAAATATTAATTTGCTCAGCGTACCAATTTACGGCACTGAGTACAAACAAATTATCTCATATGACTATATTCATGTGTACATAATATGTATATTCAGAGAGGAAAAATTAAAACTATAGACTATGAGCATGGCTTGTTAACTTGTTAACGTGATGACCTCTATATGCATGTATAGTTGATATAATTAAGGCCTGCTTTCCACTTTGAGTATATGGCTTTTTTAGCACTTACGCGTACACGCACGCAAAAGTTTAAATTCATGCTATTAAATTTTTCTTATTTAACATGATAACATCTAGGTCGACAAATGCATACTGAACTACGCGGGAAACTAAGTTCTTTCGAATTATTCACTTATTTAAGGTGGCTCCCTACAGTTTTAAGAATATTGAAAACTAATGATTTAGATTGAAATTTTTGGCAGGAAATTTCTTGCTAAACGAAATGAAATTTTCCAGATATATTAACCAACATTCTAACAGTCGAAAATTGTCTTTGAGTATCACGTCATTAGCGTTGTTATGGTAACAATGGCGATTCAATATGGCCGACATTTTACCTATTCACGCATTTTACTCGAAAACAAGTTCGGTTACCCCAATTTTTTATTTCATAAAACGTTTTCTTACAAAAAAATGGAAAATTTGAACGAGTTAAAAAAAATTCTGTGGAGCCAAAATTATTAAAAATTAAAAAACGTGATTTTTCGTTATAGAAATTTTTTGGCTCCATAGAATTTTTTTTAACTCGTTCAAATTTTCCATTTTTTTGTAAGAAAACTTTTTATAAAATAAAAAATTGGGGTAACCGAACTTGTTTTCGAGTAAAATGCGTGAATAGGTAAAATGTCGGCCATATTGAATCGCCATTGTTACCATAACAACGATAATGACGTCATGCTTATGGGCAATTTCTGACTGTTAGAATGTTGGTTAATATATCTGGGAAATTTCTTTTCCTTAGCAAGAAATCTCGTGCTAAAATTTTAAATCAAAACCACAAGTTTTCAATATTTTTAAAAATTGTAGGGAGCCACCTTAAGCATTTAGACTTTTACGTGCGTGTACGTGCGTATGAAAAACGCAACAGCGGAAAGCAGCCCTAATTTCAAAAAACCCAACACTACAGACACTTGATATATGAAAGCAAAAAATAGTGGTTACCTAGCAGTTAACTTAAAAAAACGGATATCTCGTGATTCGTGGGATTATAAGTTCGGGAGTAAAGTTGCTTGAATATGCTCCTTGCATGGCCTTGGGTCCTTTCGTTTATGACATGCAGTCCAAAAATAGTCGCATTTATATACTATTTGGTTAACGTTTGCAAACACTGTCGCGAATTTTATCATTTTTTCAGAAAACGACCCATTCTTATTGATTTCCGGGCTTATCTCGTCATCCCTTAAATATAGTTCTCTGTCTGGCATTATGATGTGGCGTGACTGATAGCATGGTACAGAGAAGATTGTAAGATAATAACAGTTTACCATACATTTGTCTGGCAATTTACTGATATTCTACATACATATATATCTTATCTCAGATCATAAAGAGGGAAACATGAAAGTAATATTATTAAGCCAGACCTTTGTCTATTTATAAAGAACAGATGATGTCCATGAAGGTCAGCTTTTGGATTAAATGTGGCCATCACTGCATGCTTGGCATGTCTTGCAAATTGATAATAACACGTATATAGATGACTTATCACTAATTTGAATCAAAATTTCAATCCCCCTGCATGCTAACTATAAAAGTATCAACGACACACATCGCAAATATATACTTACTTGGTCAAACTGCACTCAGTCGACAGCGGCAATCAGGTATATTACGTATATGGCTAATACTCAAGCGGTTTTCATTCGCTTGATTGATTCTGTCACTGACGAGAAAATCTGAATCTTTACTGATCCATGATTAACTCTACCAACATTCACAAACAACAACACAATGTTGCATGCAGTGTGAGGAACATCAAAACAATTAAGATCATTGAATTTTAGACTTAATATTGTTTACATAGTGTCTGATATATGACTTTATAATCTTCCCTCTTGAGTACTTTTGTGCGTCATATTAAGTATCCTCCAAGCCTTAGTTATAATAAATTTATCCGATTACATTCTGAACCTAATGCGCGGGTAATCCGTAGAAATATTTAGTTGTGAAATATGTAAAAAAACGCCAAGCAATTTCCCGTTTCTTGCATAAAGGAAAGAAAGGAAAAAATATCGACCTTTCCAACACTTCACATGCCGTGATTGTATGCTGGTGGACAGAATATGACTGCTATAAAAAGCAGACATTTGGCGGGTATTTTCTTTTCTTCTCACAAAGAAAAAGTCAGTTCTAGAATTTCATAGAAGCAAAAAATTAAGATGAATGACATTAATGAATATTAGAAAGTTACCAATGTACGACAGTTCTGATGCAACTAACTGTAGTTTTATATATTCACAAATCATGCAGGCACAGACGACAGGATTATATATATATATATATATATACCTCGGGCTCGGAGTTGCTGGATTGACATTTCACTCATACACGCGACAGAATCTTGTATCTTGGTTCTCTCAAGTCTCAACGATGGCATGATATAAACAGTGATAGCGGTTTAAAAAAGTCAAATAACGCCATCAGGCAGGCAAAGCAGGAAACATGCATTTAAAACGTGATTTATTATATTTTTCGCACCACACTATTAAAAAACATTCATTTACAGACTATTATATAGGACAGGGATCCCTGAGGTGCAAATCATCGAAGATTTAAGTCGAGAGGAATGGTCGGCGTTGGATCATCAGAATATTCATGATTCATCAGAATTCAAAATCGAAAATTTCTAGCGGTGCAACACACTTGAAAAGAATTGAAATCAATATTTCGTTTCTCAAAAGGAATAATTGTTGCTGTCCTTCGCAAATTTTCTTTTTTTTTAATTTCGCTCAATTATTTTCAATTCAGTATTCATTTATAATATCACGCTTGAAACTACCATCACAGCCACCATGCATGCATGGCTTCAGCTCCTAGCCTCCTATCTTATAGAAAAGATAACGCTCTATATGATTCAGCACCGACCGAAAGGATTGCCTGGTTAAAAACAGATGGATTGCGGAAATGAAGCAATTCGGTAAAAGCCAAAACTTTTCGATGTTTCGTCGTCAATAGAGTTAGTACGACTCAGGAATAGTATGTCGAGACTGTGTTTTTTGACCTCATGCAGCGCATATATATTTATTCATGATTCTTCTCCGTCATATATTGGCTCTGAAATTTTATGGCGTCCGTTGTCTGCTCTGAGTTTTAGACACTATTTAATTCACTTCACTGAAGTTCCTTATAATTATGATTAATCGCTAAAAGTCGCTCACGATTATCTGATTTAACCGTACATTAACAGTCTCCAATATGCCAATGTTTTTTTTCAAAAATACATGTGACAATCACTTTTCTCTTTCAATTCGTGCATTATGGTGGCATGTAGCAAGACGTATATGTATGAGTGAAAGACAGACAATCAAAATGAAGATGCATGTATACCTTGCATTTATGAATTCCCTATGCAAACCTATATCATATAGATCATAGGCGTATGTCTATCATGATTTACGACTACATTGTTCACTGCAATTTCAGGAAATTATCCCCCCTAAATAGGGGTGGGGTTAATGTTTCTCAGAAATATTTTTTTAAATATGTAAAAGTTTTGTCTGTTTTGAAACGGAAATATACTGACCAATTCTCTATATATATATATATATATATATATATATATATATATATATATATATATATATATATATACATATATATATATATTATAAAATAAATATATTGATTTTCAAAATCTTCCATTGGATGGAAGATTGGGTGAAAATTATGATCTGCACGAGAGGATTCTTTATGGTGACTAAACATTAAATAAAAATCGGTGCATGCATGCATGTTTCGCCAATTCTGATAAATTTGATATTCTTTTGTTCTAAAAGTCACTCAAACAATAAAATGTCACGCGATGCGTTCAGACATGCAACTTATTTTTAAATTTTTAAGTGCTCCATTTTGAAAAACGTCTTCATTTAAAGGGTCTAAACGAATTGTTTAGTGCAACCTATAATGTTTTTGTCGCATACCGATAAGATATGAAATCCGGTATTGCACGCCATACCATGCATATGTACTGTACAACTACAAGAACAAGATAATTCATTATTTCAAGTACCCGCGTGCATGGCGTGTATATATACTAAATGTGTGATTATTCTAATTACGAGGAAAATTTGTTTGTCAGCTGGACAAAACAGGATTTCTAAAACCCACTTATCATGTCGAAAGCTTAACCGAAACTATATCCGACATCTTCATTTCTAGACAGGGCGCAGACATCACATTCATATATTATTAAAGTTATTAAATACCACGAAGAAAGTATTCAATATATGCCGACTTTTACCGTACAATATGTCCATTTTTATTCCTAGTTACATGCCTTTAGCGAGGAATGTGCATGATGAATTTGTGATCATAAACAAGTTAACATTGTATATTCTGGGATTCATCTAATATTTGATGCGGAAATTAATCAGTGACAAAGATTATCTTAACATAATATCAGTAGTCTGTCACATATTTAATTTATACTCTTCTAGTCTCCTACGGCTACGATTTTATGCTACAGGACAAACTGGAAGCGGCAGTTAAGATTACAAAATGTTGAATTATAAATACATATATAAATTGCATATAATATATTATATAGTTCTAAGCAAATATAAAGTAAAGAAGTAAGTAGGCAAAGAAGTAAGATCATATTATGTATAGATGAATGCGTCATCGGTAGTATTTGATAATTGGGATGGCGAAAGCATAAAATTATTATTGATATATAAGTCAGTCAGCCTATATTAAGTAACACTTCAATTATAACTTAGAGATTTTAAAAAGAGCTATTAAGACTAACCTGAAAGAATGGCCTTGAACTTGCTCAAAATGGGTTTTCACATTTATATTGGCAAGTGTGGGAAGAGAACTTTCCTGAGTGAAAATGTGTGAACTTGTCGCGCTTTTAGTCAAGTCATTGCTTGGATGAACTGTGTCCGTAATTTTATCTCATGTTTGCGTGTCCGTCAGGGAGATATAGGAAACAAGGCAGACATAACCACTTGAACGAAGCCTTTTAAAATCTTTGTTTTTATCTAATACCCATTAATCTTTCAACCTTTATGGCTCATTTTCCGGCTAAATGTTTTTAAATTAACGATAATGTTTCAAATCATGCAAGAACAGGAACGCGTTCTATATACACTAACGGCAAATCCGAATGCTAATCATACCATATGCATGGGTTATACAGATAATTTTTAAGGTGCATGTCAAACTTTCGACACTGTAGTAATTTAGGCCAGACAACTATTTGAAAAAAATCATAAAAAAGCTGAGTTTATTCGGAGTTAAAGACTGTCGCTTTTTCCTAAACAAAGCCTGCATCTTTGGTTTCATAATTCGTATTGCAATATGAAACCAAGGATGGATATACATGTTAAAAGAAACAGTAATTCTTACATTAAGAATACATGAACCTGTTTTGTTTATATAAACTATAAAAACTAAAAGATATTTTGATTTTTGCTGTCAATCTTAGACTGAGGTGGGAATGTAAAAAAAAGGAATGTTGCAAATGTGCTGGTGTGAATTTCATGAATGGATTATAAAGAATAACAATGTTATTATCGCAACTAAATAACGTTAAAATAATTTGTATTCTTTGTGATAGCAGACTATGTAGTAAAGAGATAATATCAATTGCTTCGTTCAATATAAATAAAGAATATTTCTTATAAGGGAATTAGGGAACCGTAAAGACATTCTTATAATTCAAAGTCGTGATGAGAAGTGTCACAACATTCTAGGCCTCACCCAATTGTTGATATGACGTCAATCACTTTTCTATGTAGCTTTGTAAAGCTCCTTTTAACCAGGGCATATTATAATACAATCTATGTGGGAGACCAAGATGTACTAAACTACCAATATTTCAATCCGCTTTGCGCAATAGTTTGCACGCAGGGCGCGTGCGCGGTACACGTGACCGCGCGCAACAAAAATGTGATGTCTCGGTTGTACATAATCATAGTATGTTTTAATATTTGGTCTTCAATATTTTATAAATCTTTTAATATCTCTTATTTATAGAATTACAAAATTCAGTCTTCGCATGATAAAAAAGAATCATTTAATTATGGTCAAAACCTTATAACCATATCAAAGCATGCACCCACTTGCAAGGGGCTGCTGTTGTTACCATAATGGAATGAAAGAATCTTGCATGGCCCGGGGAGAACGACAGTGAAGTTATATCATGCCGGAATATTGCAAAAAAAGAATCACAATCATCACCCGCAAATCCCACCATGCTCATCAACGATCTTCCCACGAGTAGAGTAAAGACCCTGGGTACGAGGTTGGAACGATCTTAGATTTTGACACAGAACCATCATTTAACAGTGCAAAAAACCTCCAATCTGGAGTATGTCAATCCAAAGATGGGGATGTTAATAACATCTTGCAAGTTACCTATTGATCCGACGAAGAAAGGAATTTGCGTCGTTTAGAATAGAAAGTATAGGTGTTAAAATAAAGTTGAAGGATGAAGTTTACAATCACAAAACTAGTGCATGTCCGAAAATAGTTGTAAAAAATTAATCATCGATCCTTAATGTTCGTTCCTTCAATTGCTGATAGCCCGGGGTGACTCATGCATTAAGATTTTTGGAAAGCCCGTTCAGACTTCAGAAGTTATCTGAAACCCGACGTGTGACAAGTAAAATTTATGCAATTATTTAAGGAGTTAATATTGACTGCGGGGATCCAATAACAAGTATGTGTCATCAAAGTCTAGAACAGGCGTCTAATAAACAGACTCCCGATGTTACAGTATGCATGATGGCAAACGATGTTCACGGGTACAAAGATGAAAGATTTCGTCACGCCGTTAGCACACATTTCCACTGTGGTATTTGCCAGAACGTATTAAAAGAACCAGTAACCTGTCGGAGAAACGAGCATTACTTTTGTCGTTGCTGCATCTGTAAACATTTGGAAAATTCGTCGACGTGTCCGACATGCCAGGAGGAGATCTCGCAAGAAACTATCAGTCAAGCACCGCAGATCTTGCGAAACTGTTTAGATGAGTTACAAATTCGTTGTGATTATGCTGATAAAGGTTGTCAAGAAATAGTTCAGCTAGCTCAGCTTCAAAACCATGTCGACGAATGTGGTTTTGCACCAGTTTCTTGCTCGAATGAAGGATGCTTCGCTGAAGTTCAAAGAAAAGATTTAATTGGTCATCAACAAGGATTATGCGAGTTTCGAAAGTGTTATAATTGTTCTGAATTACAGCATGTTGTTCATGAAATCAATGTGAATACGATTTCTGTGAACAATCAAATGAAAGATCTCAACAATTTAAAAGCTATAAATGAAAGCTTAGTCATGGTTAAAGAGGAAGTCTTCAAAACAAGGAAAGATACAGTTCAAGTGTTACATCGTTTGGAAGCTTTAGAGGAGCAAGTTCGAGCTACAAAAGAGATGCAAGAAGCAATGAGAGAAGCAGAAAGATTGACTACAGTTGGTGAGACGTACCAAGCTCAAAATATTCTTGTGGCTGGAGGACGTAGAACGGACTTCGGCGAGATGAAACACGTGGAACTTTTCAATTTGTATGGAATGTCGTGGACTCGTGGTCGCCACTGCAGCAAATGAGGGAGAGTCGCGTTGGATCATCTGCATTCGTGTTTAATAATGAAATCACAATCGTAGGTGGTAATACCAATCATGGTCCAACTGAAACTCTCACGAAGCTTTCTATCAGCCCAGATATGAAAAGCTCGTCTTGGTCTGAGCTCTCGACGCGACTTCCTGAAAAATTGTATGGTCACAGCAGTGTTCTGTGTGATGGAATTGTTGCTCATATCGGTGGATGCAACAAAAACAAAAATATATCAAGGAACATTCATCAACACAGAATATCGCCGACTGGGTTTCAGTCTTGGTTACCCACTCCGTTTATGCCAGATCCTAGATGCTTCCACGGAGCTCAAGCATTTGATAACAAGGTATTTGTATTTGGAGGACGTAGCTCATATGAACGGAGCCTTGATAGCGTTATTTCATATGATTTTAAAGATGAAGTTACACAGCTGGCATCCCTCCCTTACCCCATGAGTGAGATGGCAACTGTACGTTGGGGTGATAATGTCATTCTTATTGGCGGTGCAGACCAAAATGGGAAGCCTTTATCCACTGTTGTTATTTACAATGTCATTACAGAGAGATGGCATATTTTACCACCAATGAATGAGAAGAGAAAAGCGTGTTCTGCAGTTGTTGTTCAGAATAAGATTTTCGTCATGGGAGGACGAACTCAGAACAATACTTGTCTTCGCTCTGTTGAATGTTTCAACTTCAACAGTTACTCATGGCAGAATATTCCAGCCATGATTACAGCAAGAGAACGAGGTGTGGCAGTTGCCTTCTAGTAACCATGCTTTGGATCTTAAAGTTTAAACTTTTGAATTTGTCAGAAACAGTATTACACGCATCAAGTAGCTAGCTATATAGTGAAGACTCCTGTAAGGATGAGACAGAGCTATAAGCCTATAACAGGCTATAACAGGCTATATGGTATTGAACACTCTTTAGTATTTCGCAAACCATTATATTTATATATATAGATCGGCAAGTAAACTGTAAAATTATATAAAATCCATAAAATGTTATAAAATGTAGTAATGAATCAACAAAATTGAATCGTGTATTTAAAATGGCGGATGGCGGGAAATTTAGAACTGTTGCCTTGGCAACACCCGACCAATCAGAACTAGTTATTTGTTTGTTTCTATAATTACTATCAATTAGGAAAGAAATTTCTGACTCTTGAAGTCGAAGAATGCATGACTGCTTATTGATAGGGATTGTATCGCAATGCCGTCGATGAAACACACAAAAAAAGTTCGTCCTTCGACGGCTTCAGGTCTATTGCAATCTAAAGAAGTGAGTCATGTGGTTGATGAGTTACGTCCAACGACAGCACCGGTAAAAACAGAAGTTGGTTTTGATCCTACATTTCTCACATCACGCCATCACGTTCCTGGGACATTGACTTCATCCTCAGTTAGAGGGCGACAAGTACACGGTGGAATACCAGATCATGATTTAAAAGGAGTTCTTGGAAGAAGGGCAACGTTTTCTGAGCTAGATCATGACAAAATTAAACGTCCTTTGACAGCAGCTGGTCAGAAATTAACGCAAAAGGTATTTCATTATTTCTATTGCATTATATAACATTGCATATTGTTTCCAAACATAGAATACTACTTCATAGTAATTTCAACTAAATTTTAAACATAATTTTGTCTGATATGTTATCACGACATTAAGATATCTTTGTTATGGTTCTCGATCGTTATGGAATATATTTAATCCATGACAATTAGACAATACAATATATCCATAACATCCATGATTGTAGCAGATGTGGCAGTGAGTGCATGCAGCTGGAAATTAGAATAAACAAAGTATGTCACTATAAAATTTTTGCATGTTCGAAATGCAAATGGTGGTCATGCTAGCTGGGCTTGTTGATAGATTGTTAATTGTTGTTCATGAATACATACTACAAAGGTAGGGGGTGGTTGCAGGGGCTGTTGAATATGTACTTGTTCCTCAATAAGTCTGCTAGTTTTCTGCTATCAAAAAAAATAGCCAGCACATAGAACATTCTCCAAATCAGTTTCAAACATATTAATCGATCACAAGTGTCAATTAAATGAAATGATGTTGTAAATTGTGGTCTCCTAGACTGGGTCTACACTCTACATAGTTAGAGCATAGTGCCTTGTCAGTGTGATACTGCTATTATATTCAACCTGTTAATCTTCCATAGAAGAGAAAATTTAACATTAATATTATTTTCATGGTTTTAGAGTTCAATAATATATATATAATACAATGACTCATTCAGTATGGTATTAAAATTACACCATTTTAGTTGGAAGACCAAATAACACTTGAACAGTTGAATAAAATGAGGAAAGCATTCGAGGTGAATATTTATAATTTATTGTATTTGTGATTATTAGGGAGAAATACTATATATGTATGTGAGCTAGGTCTCATATGCACTGCAGATCTCAACCTGAGGCCTAGCTGGCAAATGAGCCGTAGTACATATGAGTATAGCTAGCATAGAGTTTGACAAGCATGCAAGCTTGGGTATCAAAAACTGCCAAATTGGATCAATGGCCAAACGTGTGACGTGTTATTCAGCCCTATCCCCAAATGTTTTCACATTTAATCTCTTTTCTTTGTCCACATTAGGAAGGCGATGTTGATAATAGCGGAACACTTGACCTTGAGGAATTTAAAGTTATATTCCAACAATTTCTTGGCTTAAAGGGAAAGGTATACTTGATATGGATGTAGAAACTGTGTGATATAATCATTACAGGTTGAGTAGTGACTTCATAGTCATTGAAAATTTCGTCCACTTTTTCCAGAGCGAAGACCAGGTTACAGAATTATTTATGAAAATTGATTCTTCATCAGATGGTGAAATCAACTGGGTACAGTTAAATAATCAAACCTTGCAATAAAATTCTCTTGCAGACCGCGCCATGCCAGCTGGCGATCTACATAAACTAGTTAAGAAAATGCGGACTGTATGTGTCAGACAGCATGCATTCATTTGTCATTTGAATATTCAGGCGATAGTATAAAAAATACAATGGCAACACAGTCAATTCCCTATCATATATTCCACTAATGAGGTATAAAAGTATGTATAAACCAAATAAAAACATAATAAACCACATATTTTTTAGGATGAATTTTGTACTTATATGCAGTTAGAGTATGCTGAGAAAGAGGAATCATATCTTCGATCTAAAGAGGTTAATTGAACTAATTTCGATATAGATATTCGGAATGCCATTTCATTAACTTTGTCTTAGTAGTATTAACTACTTTTTTTTATGGCAGACGGCATTTCACATCCCGGCAACCACTGAGAACTCACCACATCGTGAGCAAGTACTGACAATATGTCACACTTCAGATAACACCTCACTTTGTGTTAGTCAGGTTAGGAGCAGATATGTATAATTTCTTGAAATTTTTCATCTGTTCACCAAACATTTTCCCAGAAGATAATCAGGTTTTGTTATAGCTGTTCTTGCCATGATTAATAAAATAAATTTATAATTAAGTGACTTTTTCACTCCTCAGGATGGAATGGTGTCTTTTTGGTCACCTTCTCTAGATTTTAAAAGATCAAAACATGTAAGTCTTTTTATAAATCATACAATTTTAATTTATGGTACGGTATAAATTTTAAAATATAATTGTAAATTTTAATGCTATAAAAATGTTTTCTTGCATTGCTTTAGATCGAAACATCTTCTAAAAAAGCGAAATGGATCACAGATTTCGTTTTAATGCCTCAATATAACAAACTCATCATTTCCACTGGGTAGGATCATATTTATATACTCCTATCTGTCCCCACCATCCTTTGATTTGTGACGTGTTCATCTTAATTTTTTTATTCCTTCAGTGACCGGGAGATACAGTTTCACGAGTTGTCAACATTTGAGCCCTACTGTCAAATAAGTGGTTTAGAAACAACTCCACTAAAATTAGAATATTGGTGAGTTGTCAAATAACGATGAAATAAGACTTATCCTTAAAGAGAAATGAGTATAGTTCCGACAAAAAAAGTGAAAGTCAAAAGTGTAGGCATCATGGGTACCGCTTACGGTATGCAATGTGTTTCGTATATATTTTTAAGTATTACTCCATTTAGTTCGACTGGCCAGGATGAATGTGTCATTATGTATGGTGATAGTCAGGTAGGAATACAGAATGTTATCTTTTCTCTGGTAGCTCACGCCTTTGATTTTCAAAGGAAAAGAATGAGACATGCCGTCCAAATGAATGAACACTTTTTTCGTTACGCAAGACGCAGGGAAAACACAGAGGCATACTTGTTGTGTGAAATAATATTCTGCTGATCTGCTCGATATCTCAATGATAAAGATTTTTTATCATGATTCGAACCATGCAATGCCGTCACTTCATTGTTGCATTTACATAAAGTTTCGTTACTCAAAGTTTCAAGGATTTCTTTCCTTGCAGGGCTGCATTAGTATATTTATTCTTTCATCAACCGGTGAATCATTAAGGTAACTCAGATATAAAATACTAGTTTGTAAAATTACGTTCCTCATTAATCAACCTGTAATTATGGAGTTTAAATTGTAATATATATCTGTTGAATTATTATAGAACGTGGAAAAAGATGCCAAAGGTGGATGGAATGGCGAATGTTAATGTTGATAGTGTCATTAGTTCTGAAAATATAAAATTTGTGAGGTGGGTTATATAGTATGTCTCGAGTCAATCTGCCAACCATGTACATACTGAAGCTTTTTAATCAACTAAAGTGGTTTTGCTACTACCGCGCTGTTTAATAACCCCACAATTTTATTGCTTGCTTTTATATCCAGCATAAACTACCTATAAAAGATAATCGGTTTGAAACAGTCGATCTGAATGCACAATAAAGTTATATGTAAATATTTGTTGCAGATGGAAAGTTCACGACGATTGGGTTTCCCAGGTACATGCATGGATTGAGTATATGGTTCATGTTGCACTATGCATGAGCAAGTTCTGTTGCAATGCATGTACAGCATTAAGTAGTATATAAGGTCATGTAATCCTGCCTACTAGCAAAGGTAGTTGTTTCTGTAGCTACAGGGTGGTAGACGCATAGCGTTCACGGTCTTTTCTTTAGTTAAGGTACTATGAGTCACTTCGCGCTGTCATTTCCTGCTCTAATGATCCAAATACTGCTTTGGTTATTGGTGGGTATGCAATCATACACGTCACGTCATTTATTGGAGACATTATAGCGGAATTGAAACACTCAATTGTGCATCTTTCACGCAGGCCAAACAATCGGAAGCACATACGTGGAGTCAGCTGTGCGAGATCAACAGGGACATGTTGGAGGACAGAAGAAAGTATTTCATGGCGCAGCAGGAAGAGATAATCAACCGAGACGACGTCAAGATGCTGATCAAACCGTCTTTAGAATCTATAAGGGAGTTAAGACGTTCGATTTTTCACGAGAAAAGAATGTCATTGTTACTGGTGGTGAGATAATTAATGTATACTCTAATTGGTAAAAACCTGTAAAAAATCGTATAAGGAAAAGATGAGAATATTTAAAATATCCAACGTATCTAAATTGATGGATGAATGTGCGTGTTCAAAGATTTAAACTCATGAAAAGTCTCTTTTACAGCCCTGCCCGACTTCAGTTTTTATTATTATACTCTGTTGATGATATCCTAATTTTTTGTAGGTATGGATCGTCTTATTCGCTTGTGGAATCCATATGTTCCAAGGTGAGTTTCATCTTCGAGTATAAAAAGGAAATGATAAGATATATCATATAAAATTTAACCGACTCTAG